AGCTGAATGAATCGATTTCATTCAGGTAAATGCTTGCTTATAGCAAAGTAATTCTTTGCTATAAGCAAATTGTATAAAAAATTAAATACTGATCACTTCCCCAAAGTAGTACAATGTTACTATGGTAACGTTGTACTACTTTGGTCATAGTAAAATATGAAAAAACATGTAGCAGAATACATTTCGGCCTAAATTTATGAAGAACAATTATTTATTTGTAAACTTTTATAACAGAAACAAAGAAAAATGTGTTTTTTTTTTCAATATTTTTGGTCTTTTTTTGTTAATTTAGCAAAAAATAAAAACCCCAGCGGTGATTAAATACCACCAAAAGAAAGCTCTAGTTGTGTGAAGAAAATGATAAAATTTTAGTTTGGTACAGTGTTGTATGACCGCGCAATTGTCATTCAAAGTGTGAGAGCGCTGAAACCTGAAAAATGGCCTGGGCAGGAAGGTGTAAAATTGCACGGTATTGAAATGGTTAACAGACATTGCTGCTTTGGGGTACCATTCTTTTTGAATGGCATCCCAACACAGTAAGGCAATGCACATGAACTGTAGCATGTGCATTCTGATGCACTGCTTTTGAAAAAAACGTTTGTTTGCATTTTAGGCATGTTAGGGTGCATTGGTAACCCATTCATTTTGAATGGGCTGCTTTCATGCAATGCAGATTAATGCAAAATATAACTTACAAGTAAAAGTGGCCTTTCATAATGACTATTTATAACAGACCCAGCCAAGAAAAATTCACTGGTCATTCCAACATGTAGAAACTAGGTGCTGTTACATCATTTCTTCCAGTAATCATGTAGTAGGCAGCCCCTGCCAGACAACCATATAAAGGGAAGGAGAGGAGGAAGCAGAGTTGTCTGCGAGTTCCAGGAGAGGTAAGTGACACTGGCCAAGTCTGGCAGATTATCTTTACATTCATAAACCCATGTAAAGCATTGCAGCTTGCTTGGACATCTACTATATAAATAGTGGCTTTGTTTTATACATTTGTACTTTTTTGTTGAACTTTATATCCATAAAAATCTAAAATATAATGATAGCAGCTTGAGGGTTTTAAACTTTAATACCTATATACAAATGTGCCTTGAGAATTTACAGGTAGCACTGGTAAAGTTCCAATGCCATCATAATTTTCCTTCTGACGAGATTCCATTTTCTTAGTCCTCCATGATCTGACCTCACATGTTACAATCTAACACTGGCTATACACTATAGTAGATTTTTAAAAAATGTTCATATGAAAATTCGTACAAAATTCTCAGTACATTCCAGGACTTGACAAAGTTGGTTCAAAGCTTTGTTTGCTTTTAATATTCGATTTTAAGATGAATGGACTTTCCTGAACGAAAACCACACACTGTGAGGACTTTGTTAGTTTAAAAAACATTTTCCATCATGCACCTCTGAATTTTCTCATCACTGTGCACAAAAAACGAACATCAGTTTGGCCCCTAATAATGATTAGAAAATCGAACAAACGTATTGAACAAATGTTCTTAAAGTGAAAAAAAGCAGCCTGGATCCTCCTCTTCTCGGGTCCCCCACAGTCTCTCCTGTCTATCAGGTGCTTCCATAGCAAGCAGCTTGCTATGGGGGCACCCGCTGCTCCGCACGTCCATTCACACACTGAGCCGCGGCTTGGCCCCACCAATGGTCAGCGTTTAACAACCACTTCAAGCAGCCCACAGATGAGTTAGTTTTTTTTTCGTTCAACTAAAGGGTTCAACTAAAAAAACTGACCTGATTCAAAAGCGATTGGGGAGGTCCTCTCCAGTGATATATTGCATTTTGACAGCGTGGAGACTTTCCTGCCATCTCAATACACTGATCAGCATTGTAGGCTATAGCCTGCAGCACTGATCAAGCGGAGAAAATCCAACAGGGTGGTTGTACAGAAGTTGATTGCTAAATCATTCAAGCTCCTCCATGCTGCGTGACTGATTCCCTCATGCCTCTTTTGTAAGGCTCTCCGGCTGGAGGTCATACTCCGACATTATCACATGCAATGCAGGTGGGAACGACAAGGACTTGCCCACCCCGCCCTGGAAAGACGAGGAGAGTGCTGGAACCTGAATCACACCCAGGGGCGGACTGACCATTTGGAAACTCGGGCACTGCCCAAGGCCCGGGGTCAGTAGGGGGCCCCATGAGATGCCCCTGGTACCTTTTTCATAGGCTTTTTTGAGTTTGGGCAAGGACACAGGGGCCCCATGATCCTCTATTGTCCGGGGGCCCCATGAGTTGTCAGTCCACCCCTGATCACATCCTATTATTCTAACCATAAACTTAACTCTTACAATGTGGGGGGGGGGGCAGTCATTGCAAATGTTTTTCTCTATTTAAGAGTTTGGCTTTAAAGGGTAATATAAAGAGGTTGTATCATTTTAACTACACATATTACACAGACCAATTTTCAGAAGAGAGGTAGAGCCTGCTGCCCATGTGAATGAACCCTTAGAGACTGGAACCATTGTTTCACTGTAAATACCAAAGTTTGTTATTTTGTATTTGTTCATCTTGTTATATAGGGGTTTGAATTTCTTTTTAAATGGCCCTTTCCCCTTACAGGATATTCCGATTCTGTGTCTTGGTGTCACCATGATCCATTGGCTCATCCTTCTGTTGGTGCTCTGTGCTAGCTATACATGCTCAACGTAAGTGATCAGTAGTTTTCCTTCATGTTCTATTTTAGACCCTGCACAAATGGCCAATTTGCCTCCTGGTTCTCCTCCCTCATGTTTTTCAATCAACAAATCAACACCCCCCCCCCCCTACAAAATGTTAATGGGAATCAAATCAGGACTTTGACAAGGGCAGTCCATAAACCTCTATGTAATCTTTTTGAGACATTCCTCAGTGGATTTGCTAGTGTGCTTTGGACAGTTATCACAAAAGACTCATTTCAACTTCAACTTTTTTGGTCAGATGGCCTCACACTCTCATCTAGCACACTTTGATATGATGCAAAATGTATAGATTAGATTAGATTCAACAACTTTGTCATTGTGCAAAGTACATGTACAGAGCCAATGAAATGCAGTTAGCATCCAGCCAGAAGTGCATAAATGGCCCATTTACAATAAATAACAGTATAACAAAAATCGGGGTATGGAATATACAGTAATATCATAATCTGTGCAATGAGTAGTGCATCAATGGATGAAATATTCAGTAATACAATGGTGAATAAAATCTACGGTAATGCAATATTGTCTAATGATTAGCTGTTCAATGCTTTAACAGCCACAGGAAAAAAAACTATTTTTCAGTCTATTTGTACGGGCTCTGAGACACTTGTATCATTTGCCGGATGGAAGGAGTATGAACAGTCCATGGTTAGGGTGAGAGGCATCATTAGTGATGCCTCTCGCCCTTTGTACACAGCGTTTTTTTGTAAATGTCCTCCAAGGTGGAAAGCTGAACACCAATAATTCGTTGAGCAGTTTTCACCACCCTCTGGTGGTCTGAAGCAGTGCAGCTGCTGTACCACACTAAGCAACTTGTGAGGATGCTCTCATTAGTACAACGATAAAAAATTTTCAATATCCTGTAGCACAGACAGGATTTTTTAAGTTTCCTTAGAAAATATAGGTGCTGTTGTGCCTTCCTGATCGGGAAGTTGACTCGCCCAGGCCCTGAAGCAGCAAACCAACCTCAAACCATAACATTTCCACCACTATGCTTCACAGTCGTTAGGAGGGTCTTTCCTTAAAATACTATCAATTTCTGTCAAACATGTCTACTATTTCTATGAGCAAACATCTTTGTCTTTAAAATGATAGTAAACCACTAGTATGCATCGCATACTAGAACATTATGTAAAACTTACCTTAAAATGAAGCCCTCCAGCCACGCTGTCACTGCTGCAGAGGCTTCCATCTTCATCCGGTCTTCCTTCCAGGTTCATGAGCTCCAGCCATCTGACAGACCGGGCTGCGATGCCGTCACTCCCGTGCAGGAGTCCCGGGCCACGGCACACAGCTCTGAAGGATCGGCACGGGTATGCCATTCCTTCAGAGCGCTTGCGCCGTCTACAAAAGAGAGAATATCTCCTAAAAGGTGCACATTTAGGAGATATTCATTTTACCTACAGGTAAACCTTATTATAAGCTTGCCGTAGGTAAAATTAAAAAGAACGAGTTTACTACCACTTTAATTGATCAGTCTTCAGAACATTGGTCCAGAAGGACTACGAGGACTCGTAGAAGGACTCGTATATGTTCAATGGCAGCTAAAATCTGGCTCAAATGTTCAAAAAAGAAGGACAGCAAAGGCTTTTTCCTAACATCACTCTCATGCAGAATGAATAAGTATAACCGTTTAGTGTACGTACCCCAAATGTTTAAAGTTTTGCTTGAACTTCTGCAATAATTTGTTGGAATTCTTGGAAACAAGTTTCCACTCTTGGTTTGAATTTGCTGGGCCGCTCAGTTATGGACAAATGAGCAGCTGTTTGAAATCTAAATCTCTTGTAAAGTATATACATATGATATATACATACTGTATATAAGACAGTCACACTCTATGGGCATTCCACCTCTAAGCCTAAAAGAAAGGGCAACAGTGACTCAAAACGGAGCATTGCTATAACGTAGGACCAAGGACCATGGCGCAGTTACTTGTGGTAACTAGTTGTATTTTGCTTCAATCTTCCAAAATGACTTAAACCAGTGGCCTCCGAATGCGGCTCTTTACTAGCATTTATACAGCCTTTGGGGCACTGTTCCTCCCACTGATACCATTGACGAGGCCCCATTCTTTTCACCGATACCAACAGACACATTGTCTACTCCCACTGGCCACAGTCCAGCCCCTCTAAAGTCTGTGATCCTTTGTTTAGAAAGTTTGGAGACCCCTGGCCTAAACAAAAGCCAGTAGTGAGGTAATTGGTTGACTGAGAAGGTCCTTTTCTGTGCGCATGTTGTGTAATCTAGGACTTGGATTTGATGATTTAATTTTTAATATCCCTTCTATTAATTTTTTAAGGCTGTCCAACTATTGTAAGCCGATCACAATGGAGAGGTAGGAACCCTACGTGCAGGTCTAGACTTTCCACTCCAGTACCGAACGTTATCATCCACCATACTGAAGGCGCTTTCTGTAACTCACAAGCTACGTGCAGCGCTCAAGTCAGGAACATACAGAATTATCACATGAACAGCCAGAAATGGTGTGACATCGGATACAAGTAAGAACCATTGAAAATTTGGATTAATTAATTTAGATGTTGATAACAAGGTGCTGTACTGAGGTCCTTTGTCATAGGCAGTGAAATGTAGAGTCGGTATTTTAGACCTTAAGTAAAGTGGGGAAGTGTTAGAACCCCTGTCAGGGTTATTTCGCTGCCGTGTCCCCATAATGACAACTCATTTTCACTTTCTATCTCACTAACTAATGCTACTAGGACAGGATACATGAGGAAATTTAAATGTTTACAGTTGTCACAGAACAGGAGGTTAGAGGAAATCTTCTGATGGGGCCCTGTATCCCTGTGTCAAGCATAAAAGACACAGGGGTATGGGAAGAGTTCTTCCTGCATCCTACTGTGTCTCTGGAACAGGACATGGGAGATCTTCCCGCTGTGCCCTGAACAGCAATAAAACCTTAACACAATAACAAATGGCGAGCTAGATTTTCTTAAGGATTGCTGAAATTGTCACTGAGCGCACTGGCAATGGTTAGGCAGAACTCCACAAAATAGAGACTCCCATCAGAGACAAGGAAAGGATCCAGAGTTGAGAATCCACACACATACAATCCAATGACCAAACAAATGTCCAAGAGTCCACGTTTTTAATTATAACATTGATTCATAGCAGAAACATTCCAATGTGTATCTTGGGCCAAACACAATCCACTTTTATCAGGGCTTTGGAATATTGGCCATGCTTAAATGGACTCAGGAAAGTATATGGGTCAGGGAAACTCGCCCTGAATGTGGGAGTAGTACCTATCGCCCTGAATGTGCTCATCAATGCCTCGGGTCAGGCAGAGAATATGGTCATGGGAAACTTGAACATTAAGGCAGTTCCCAAACGTAGAGATGAACCATGTCCCTGTGTGCAGTAATATAAGTACAGAGTTCTGAAAAGTGCTGTCCCATGTCACTACACCCTGTTGCCTGATGTATGTTGCATTTAGGAGGGATGTCTCTGAGACCAGGCCCTCTCCACTAGTCCAGTGTATCTCTGTTACCTCCATTCCAGTAACAGAATGGGGTCCCGCTGTGCACTTAGCGCGCACCTCATGCATGCACTTGTTAACTCCTTCCATCTCGTATGTGAACTAGTCATGTAACTCTATAATGTGGGTTCGGTTCCAGTTTCTATTGGAAACTGACTTCTGAGGAGGGAGCCAGAACATCGACCCTCTCGCTACCAAAGGACCCATCACCTATACCAGGTACCAAACTTCCCAAACAGCTGTGATGTACCCTGCTCTAGTCCTTAGTTTCCCATATCAACTACATTACTTCTCCTGCTTGACTTGCCGAGTAGACCACTGATAGTGGCCTTACGTCATATCTTGTGTGTGCTTTACTGATCCAAATTCTTTGAATATACCCGAACGAACCTGCACCCCTTTTAAATAACTTCAGACCAGGCTCGAAACAGCTGATGCAACTTTACTCAAAAGTCGTTCAGCATTACAGTCCATGATGAACATTGGCTTCAGAATCACCCTAACTATTCTTAGCTGGCTGTCCAGGCATATCTCCAAAAGTTAGAAGTCCATTGCTGGCATTCTCCAAGATTTGTTTCCGGATTCCCAGTGCCTCTGATGGACTGCAAGGCACAGTATTCCTCCTCCAATGTAGTCGTAATATGTCCTGCTTGGAGCGACCGGACAAGAGCCCCAATCCCAGCCTATATTTTCACTGGTGTGTAGGCTGGATCCAAAAAGCCCGGTAACAGCAGCACACACATTAACCTCTCCTCCTCACTGTGATTTACTGCTTGGAACAGATTCAGAAGTATAGGCAAAGCCACCATTGGTGAATGCAGTGCAGACCTACGTATTTGGTATCTGCTTACCCGAGTCCATTTAGGCACAGTCAAAATCCCTAAGCTTTGATGAATGGGGGGGGGTATGTTTTGCCCCCAAAACTCACTGAATGTTTTCTGCTACAAATCAATTTTATCATTCAAAACCTTAGACTCTAGGATGTTTGTTTGGTTCTCTCATTGGCTTATAAGCAGGGGCGGACTGACCATCTGGAAACTGCCCGAGGGCCCGGGGTCAGTAGGGGGCCCCATGAGAAGCCCCTGGTACCTTTTGCATAGGCTTTTTTGAGTTTGGGCAAGAACACAGGGGCCCCATGATCCCCTATTGCCCGGGGGCCCCATGAGTTGTCAGTCCGCCCCTGCTTATAAGCCATAAAACCTTGGCACTAGTGTCAACTTTTCCTTGCTTAAAATGTTGTTTCTGGATTTCCAGTTTAAGTGACTTTGTAAAGACAACACGGAAGAAAAAAAACATATTTATGATAGAATGATCAGATTGTTTCAGGTTAATCCTGTAAGGTGGCTGAGAAGCTCTGCCATTACCTATTACATGGGTTCATTATAAGTGGGTAGCTTTTGTCTCCCAATGGTAGATGGGTGAGAAAAAGCTGCTGGAGACTATTATTTGAGGAGTAATCATTTGATAACAGGAAATCTTTCAATATTTCACAGCTTCCTTGTTGGAGAAGATGGAAGAATATATGAAGGTCGTGGTTGGACAACTATTGGAGCTCATGCTAGCTCCTATAACTCCAAATCCATTGGTATCAGCTTCATAGGATCCTTCACCAGTAAGTGATAGTGGTGGTATTGTAGCAAGACCAAAGTAAGAAGGGGCAAGCTATAATAACTGAAAAGATTTGCACAGGCATGACCTATAGTCAGGGGAGGACTGACAACTCATGGGGCCCCCGGGCAATAGGGGATCATGGGGCCCCTGTGTCCTTGCCCACACTCAAACCACACCCAAAAAAGTCTATGAACGGTACCAGGGGCATCTCATGGGGCCCCCTTCTGACCCCGGGCCCTCGGGCCGTGCCCGAGTTCCAAAATGGTCAGTCCGCCCCGGCCTATAATTACCCCCAAGCCTCTTTCTCCCCCCTCCAGATCATGTCTCAGCGGTAATGTTCTCATTTACCTTGTTTCTGTAGCAAGAAACAGCTTTAATTACTCCCTGTGACATCTTCAGACTTGAGAAACTTTTGCAGGAGGTGGGATCTGTGGGGTGCCCTATATCAGTTTCTAATGGCAGAAGCCCCCCCTCGACCAAAATACATCCCCCAAGAGTCCCTTTCCTACACATAAGGGTTGATTTACCAAAGGTAACTAGGCTGTTCACTTTACAGAGGAAGCTGCACCACTCAAGGAAATTTGCCCCAGAGTGAATGTGGTGAAGTTTCACTTTGTAAAGCATAGTCAATCTTGTGTAAGGAGAATAGAAAAAACAGCATTCGTGGTAGCATATCATTGGATGATGGCTCATTTCCTCAATGAAATCCCCTTGCACAGTTCACCTTTCCTTGCTAAGTGAACAGTCATTTGGCTTTTAGTAAATCAACCCCATTGTGTGTGGGCAGGATCCTAGGCAGCAGAATTGTTTATGGAAGAGAAAGCCATGTATGCAAGTAGAGATGAAAAGAGAAAGCTGGGGGATAGACAGAGTTCTGTAGTCCAACAGAGAAGAACTGGCAGAGTTGACAATGTTGGTTGAGTTTTTGGTGCAGCAGAGGCATCGTTGCCAGCCAACAACATGAAGTTAGGAAGTTATGAGCTCACTGGATTTCCAGCAGGATCACCAGGTATTTTTGTGCACTTGCAGTATTTTTAACCACTTCCGGACCGCCCTGTAGCAGATACACTGCCACAGGGCAGCACGGGTGTGCAAAATCACGTATATATACGTGATTTCGCATTTCCAGGTAGGGGGCACACGCGGGTCCCTACCCGTGCCGCCATTCGCGGCCGCAGCTATCAATCATAGGGTCCTGGCCGGTGATTATTCACCTGTGCCCGGTGATTGCTGAGCATCTCTGCCGGGGAGGAGAACTGTATATAATCAATACAGTTCTCCTCCCTGTCAGCTAGTGCACACTGCTTTGCATGGCTGTGCACAGTGTGATTACAGTGAAGCAAACAGACAGAGCTACAGGGAAACACACACAGTTAACCCTTTGATTGCACCTTCCTGCCCAGTGCCATTAGTACAGTGTCAGTGCTTTTTTTTAGCACTGATCACTGTATTGGTGTCACTGGGGATGTCAGTGACACCAAGTCAGTTTCCCCCAGTGTCAGAATGCCCACCGCAGTCCCGCTATAAGTTGTTGATCGCCGCCAATAAAAAAAAAAAAAAATTCCAGTATCTATACCGCCATTTGTAAACGCTAAAACGTTCACATAAACCAATTAATTTACACATATTGGGATTTTTTTTTAGCAAAGTCATGGAGCAGAATACATTTTGGCCTAAATTTATGAGGAAATTTGATTTTTTAAATTTTTTTTTTTACTGGACATGTTTAATATCAAAAAGTCAAAAATATTTGTTTTTTTCTCAAAATTGTCGGTCTTTTTTTTATAGTGCAAAAAATTTAAAATGCAGAGGCGATCAAATATGTATTCACTATATCTGGTCTCCCAGAACACTGCATTCACTATATCCGCTCTCCCCGGACCCTGCATTCACTATATCCGCTCTTCCCGGACCCTGCATCCACTATATCTGTTCTCCCCGAACCCTGCATCCAGTATATCTGGTCTCCCCGGACCCTGCATTCACTATATCCGCTCTCACCGGACCCTGCATTCACTATATCTGTTCTCCCCGGACCCTGCATTCACTATATCCGCTCTCCCCGGACCCTGCATTCACTATATCTGTTCTCCCCGGACCCTGCATTCACTATATCCGCTCTCCCTGGACCCTGCATTCACTATATCCGCTCTCCCCGGACCCTGCATTCACTATATCCGCTCTTCCCAGACCCCGCATTCACTATATCTGTTCTTCCCGAACCCTGCATCCAGTATATCTGGTCTCCCCGGACCCTGCATCCAGTATATCTGGTCTCCCCGCACCCTGCATTCACTATATCCGCTCTCCCCGGACCCCACATTCACTATATCTGCTCTCCCTGCACCCCGCATTCACTATATATGGTCTCCCAGGACCCTGCATTCACTATATCCGCTCTCCCCGGACCCCGCATTCACTATATCCGCTCTCCCCGGAGCCTGCATTCACTATATATGGTCTCCCAGAACCCTGCATTCACTATATATGGTCTCCCAGAACCCTGCATTCACTATATCTGCTCTCCCCGGACCCTGCATTCACTATATCTGCTCTCCCCCGGACCCTGCATTCACTATATCTGGTCTCCCAGGACCCTGCATTCACTATATATGGTCTCCAAGGACCCTGGCATTCATTATATCCGCTCTCCCCAAACCCTGCATTCACTATTATCTGGTCTCCCAGGACCCTGCATTCACTATATCTGGTCTCCCCGGACCCTGCATTTACTATATCCACTCTCCCCAAACCCTGCATTCACTATATCCGGTCTCCCCGGACCCTGCATTCACTATATATGGTCTTCGCGGACCCTGCATTCACTATATCCGGTCTCTCCGGACCCTGCATTCACTATATCCGATCTCCCAGGACCCTGCATTCACTATATCCGGTCCCTCCGGACCCTGCATTCACTATATCCGGTCTCCCAGGACCCTGCATTCACTATATCTGGTCTCTCCCGGACCCTGCATTCACTATATCCGCTCTCCCCGGACCCTGCATTCACTATATCTGGTCTCCCACAGTACACAGAAGATGGAAATGCAATTATTTTATTAAATATAAATTGCTAAATACCTTTTCTCATCAGCAGTACATAACAGTCTTGTGACTTCTATCAGTGTTCAGCAGAGCACTGGTTAAAAATTTGTAGGAGGAGATTTCTCTAGGAGGATGCAGAACCCCTGACCTCTGTCTAGGCAGTGCTGATTGGCCCTGTGCTGATTACATGCACTCTCCCAAGAAAAAAAAACCTCTCTAGCAATACTCACCAAACTGAGCATGTGCAGTGTCTCCACACGATATGTCTTATCAGGAGATAAGAAGGGGACACTGGAAGAAGGGAAGGATCAGAGAAGACAGGATCAAACAGCCTTTTTACACAATACAGAGGATTAACCCCTTAGGTTCCACAGTGAGTATACCAGGCATGATTTACTGCATATACAGACTGATTTTCCTGTAGTGGGTTCAATAACACTTTAAATGTGACTAATTTGTACATAGAAATGTGGGAATATTATATGGTAGAAAGGGCTAACCCAGCCCTATACTGATAGGTCATCAACCCAATCTAGTATATAGCATCAAGATAAAAAGGAAAGTGAAGGCTGTTCAAGGATGGCCCATCAGTATAAAAAATTACCCTGAATTTGAAAAAAACATGTATATTTTATTATAAAAAAGTCATATAAATCTCAAACCCAAATAATATCACCATGTATAGATATTTTTTAGGTATAGAAGTAGCAGATAGAAATTGTCACCTACCCAAAAAGTCAACGCAGTTCGCGGTCATGGCCGCTTCTTCAGGACTTCACATTTTCAAATGGCAGATACCTTATTACATATAATTTCAATTTAATAGTCAGCAATGCAAACATAAGAACATTGCATAGGTCGGTGTCTAGAATTTAATAAATAAATGTAACTTCTCCTCTACCTTTGTCTCCGTACTGCAGATCGGGCCCCCAACAGTGCAGCCCTGAATGCCGCTAGACAACTTATCGCCTGCGGAGTGCCAAGAAATTTTATCCAAAACAATTATGTCCTTAAAGGGCACCGAAACGTAAATCCAACGAGCTGCCCAGGAAACAGCCTCTACAGAGTCATTCAAGGATGGCCTCACTTTAGGGCTTGAGATGAATCAAATCAAGGCAGCCAATTTACCCGAGCCGATTTGCTAAGCTTTGGTAGAGAAGATACGGCTAAGAAGATGTATCTGCATATGTTTGTGTGCTTTGAGTAAGCTCATTGACTTTCAGCTTTCATCACTGGGTTTCTCCTCTTCTGCTCTCCCATGAAGAAGGTGTTGAGCGGACATCTGGTCTCCTCTTGCCCGTTCCACCTTTTTCTGGTTATGGCAATGGGGCTTTGACCATGTGTGTTTAATTAGAAAACCATAAAAAGAAAGCATCTAGAACTATATTCAGGAAAGAACTACAGAAGATGGATGTAATGGGTTGAATACACTTAGCTAGGGGCAGACTGACAACTCCTGGGGCCCCCGGGCAATAGGGGATCATGGGGCCCCTGTGTCCTCACCCACACTCAAACTACACCCAAAAAAGCCTATGAAAGGTACCAGGGGCATCTCATGGGGCCCCCTACTGACCCTGGGCCCTCGGGCAGTGCCTGAGTTCCCAAATGGTTAGTCCGCCCTTGCTCTTAGCTCCAGGTTGTCCACTTTGAGATACATCTCTTTGAAAATGCTAATGGTAGTGCAGCTGTGTCATGAGCTCATTATCCAATGAAATTGATCGCCTTCATAGATTTCTGTTGCAGTAATTAATAACAAGGATCACGAGGAGTGAGCTAATGGTATCACTACACTCCAATCAGAGATTTTTGTAAGAGTTGTATCTTGGATAGGACAGCATGGAGGTAAGTGCATAGACCAATGGTCTCCAAACTGTGGCCCAGGGGCCAGATGTGGCCCTTCCTTATCCGGCCCTTGGGGTATTTTGTCTCTCACTGATACAAGATAATTCATCCCATTGACACCCACGATGAGGCACTATTCTTCCCACTGACACCAATGATGGGGCACTATTCTTCCCATTTACACCAACAATTGGGCACTATTCCTCTCACTG